TTTCCCTAGGAGGGTGGGGAAGCACTGGGCTGGGTTCCCTAGGGAGGGGGTGGAATCTCCATTCCTAGAGGTTTTTAAGTCCCAGGTTGACAAAGCCCTGGGGGACGGTAGATGGTTTAGTTGGGGTTGGTCCTGCGTTGGGCAGGGGGCTGGACTCGATGGCTCCTGAGGTCTCTGCCAGTCCTACGATTCTATGATTCTATTCGACCTGAATGTTGCCCTGTGCCATTGAAATGGCTTGCGGCTGTAGGTAATGGGAAGGGATGCCCAGGAAGTGTCACCTTTTGCCTACTGATATGGGAGAAAACTCCTCCCTGTGGCAAGGGGATATTTACAGGCTGTGCAGAGCGGAAAGTGTCCCAGACTTACTCTCTGTCCTTTGATGCCCTGGGTTTGTCGAGCAGGGGAGCTCCTTAGCTGGAGATGGTACCTGTGGTTCTGAGAGGGACGTGTCTTCCCGGGGAGCCCCTCTTAAGTAGCCGTGTCCTTCATCTCTCTCAGCCCAGCGTCTGCAGCTGCGTCCCCCGCCGAGAGCCGACACAGGGCTGTGCACCGTTAATATAGCAGTGTGCGGTTCCCGTAGGGTTCACTCAGCCCCTAGTAGATAAGTGAGTATCTGGTTGGAAAAAAGCTGGTGCCAAGCCTCTCTAGGCTTTTTGGACTCTTTATGTTGCTTTAGGAGTAAACAGCAATTAAGGGCCCTTCCCAAAGGGGGAAGAGAACTCCTGGGTACTGGGCTGAGTCAGAGGGGAATTGGCTGCTCTGTGCATTTGTGTCTATTTAAAAATGATGGTTGATTAGGAAGGAAAGGATGGATAATACCTAGGCCTCCTGAAGGTCTGATACACTGTAAATGACCAGGATGTAAAGAGATCGATCTGGAGAAAGGTGACTAAGGACAGACACTTAACACTTTCTGCAGGCACACGGGGCTGACACTAAGGGCTCAGATATCAATAATTTTCATCGGTAATTATTGTCTCATTGTGCAGCACCTTCCTCTGAGGGGCATTGACAAGACCTTGCAAAGGAAAGTCACTGTGAGCAGAAACCCATAATGCAGCTAAGCAGGGAGACATGAATAGGCCGAGGTCAGACAGCCAGAGTGGCAGGATGAGAGAGACCCACCCAGGAGTCCAGACTTCCCTGCTGTAACTATAATCCCTTCACGGTAGGGACTTTTCATTGAGTGGGAGGCAGAGGAAAGGCATGTGACCAAAGCCCACAGGTAAGTGAAAAACATGGAGACCTGGGAGATGGGTAAGAAATGGGAGGGAGTGTGGGCTATAATAGCAAAGATAAAGAAGGGACAAGGCAGAACATGGGGGAAACCAAATCAGTATCTTAGACGCCTGTTTACAAATGCAAGGCATGTGGGAAATAAGCAGGAAGAAGTGCTAGTAAATCAACACAACTATGACATCGTTGGTATCACAGAGACTTGCTAAGATACTACACACAACTGTAATATTGGTAGAGAAGGGTACAGCTTGCTCAGGAAGGAAAGGTGGGGGAAAAAGAGGAGGTGTTGCCTTATATACTAAAAATGTGTCCACTTGGACTGAGGTGGAGATGGACGTAGGAGACAGACTTGTTGAAATTCTCTGGATTAGGTTAAAGGGGAGAAAACAAGGGTTAGTCCACTACCCCAGGTGGAAGAGGTAGATGAGCTTTTTTTAAAAAAACAACTCACAAAGTCATCCAAGGTGCAGCATTTGGTGGTGATGGGGGATTTCAACTATCCAGACTAGGGCTGTCAAGCGATTACAAAAATTAATAGTAATTAATCGCCTCATTAAAAATTAATTGTTATTAATTGAACGATTAATTGCATGCACCTCCTCTTTGAAATGTTGTGCCAGCGTTTCAACGGAGCAGAGCGGCATGGAGCCCCGGATCAGCTGGAATCCCCAGCTGACCCTGGGCTCCATACAGTACTTGCTGAGGCGGTGTTTCCAAGGGAGCCTGGGATCAGCTTGGGACTCCAGCTGATCGCTGGCTCCGCGTAGCAAAGCCCCTTTCCAGTGCAACTTTGGCCAGATATCGGGCTCTTGATCATTACCTTAAGATCTAACCAGCTCTGTATCCACCTTGCAGGAGGAATAACGGTAGTTCAAATTAGGAGCTTTAATTCGAACTATCTAGTCCGTGCCATGTGTAGCCGCAGGCAAGTAGTTCAAACTACGGAGCATTTAAAAATGGTGGTGCCCAGGAACATGCAAATAAAGCCTGGGATATTTAAATCCCGGACTTCATTTGCAAGTTCGAATGCCCTACACTAGCCACCCCAGTTCGAACTAGGGTGGCAATGTAGACATTCCCTTACAGTCCATTTATTCAATGCATATTTTGTGAAAAGTAGTTCCACAAGTAAAATATGATTTATGTAATCAGTTTTCTTTTATCGATGTTAGTTGTTCTAACGATGCTTTGAATTCCATGTTCCCTTGCTCGTGTGTTATGAGACACAGTAAATACAAATATCTTATCTACTTCCTTTATCACTAGGTTGATGGAGTTTAAAGTCAGAAGGGACTGTAACATCATCCAGACCATTACATTTCATCCAGTTACCCCTATATTGAGCCCCATAGCTTTCATGTCACTCAGGCCGGGTTCACACCATGTAGAATCCTAGAGTCAGAAAATCAGAAGACAATATGATCAGTTTTACAGAAAGCGTATCGTTGACTGGGATTGATGATATTCCTAGATTAAAAAAAAAATTCCATACCACCTTATCCATTGATTACTAACCTGGTCAAACATCTTTATTTTGAGATTTCCATTATTTTTTAATAATTTCGGTTTAATGGAGACCTGTTCAGTATTTGCCTCCTTTTGGAGGAGGGGAGAGGTCTCTGCTGCTTGCTGCCTGTTATCTATTTCTGGTTCTGAATGAGATGTGTGGTTGACTGGTCAGTGGATAACGTTGGTGTTCATAACTCTGAGGTTCTACTGTCAAAGCAGTTTTAATATCTTCCTCTGACAGCTAATGGACTGGAATGTGTTTCACCACTTGAGGTGATCTCAGTAAATCGTAAGTTTGATTTCCCATAGCAGAACAAAACAATTTCTTGAATATATTTAGTGAGTGGGAACACTTCTCAGTGTCTGCATTTGAATGTAATGTAACAAGTTCAATTTTTTTTTTTACTTTCTTCTCCTCTATCTGCCTTAGACTTCTCCTTCTGGCAGCATATGGCAGCTCCCCTGATATCAAAGCCTGCTTCAGAATTCCCTCTCTACATTCTATTTCCTCAAAAGAGATGGGGTAAGCAAAACTGAGCACATATCGGGTGTGCCTAAACTACAGGGCTTTTTCAAAAAAAGTGGCCTGTTTTCGAAAAAATTTCTCCTGCCTCTAGACTACTGCCACGTTTTTTCGAAACTAAATCAAAAGAATGCAGCAGGTTTTTTGACCACGGAAAACCTTATTTTATGAGGTAGAAGGCCTTTTTCGAAAGTGACTTAGTAAAGTCAGCAAAGAATTTAAATTATCTTTGATTGGCCAGTCAGTAGTTCTATGTCACCAGCCAGCACTCCAACAGATCTCGGCCTGAGAGCCACAACCTGAGGAGAAAACTTTAGTTCCTTTAGGAGAAAAAATTGGAGCAGCTTTTCCCGGATCTGTTTTGTCCTCACCCCGTAGATGACGGGGTTCAGCGTGGGTGGAACTAGGAGGTACATGTCAGCAATGAAAATGTTGAAATAACGGGGCAAATTGTTGCCCAAACGACTGGAGAGTGAGGCAAATAGAATTGGGATGTAAAAGGCTAATATGACACAGAGGTGCGAGCTGCAGGTCCCAAAAGTCTTGACCCGGGCCTCCTTTGTGGGAAGGCTGAAGATGGCCCTGAGGATCTGGATATAAGAAAGAATGATAAAAAACACATCCAGTCCAAGCCTACAGGATAACACAAAGAGGGCATAGTAACTACTGATGCGGGTGTCGCCACATGCCAGCTTCACCACATACATGTTCTCACACTGAGTGTTGGGGATGATGTTGCTTCTGCAATATGGCCACTGGCTTGCCAGGATTGGATGGGGCAGGATAAGAATGCTGCTGCGCAACACAATGACCAGGCCGATCTTCATCACCAGGGAGTTTGTCAGGATGGTGGAATGTCTCAGGGGGTGGCAGATGGCCACGTAGCGATCCAACGCCAGAGCCGCAAAGATCCCAGACTCTATGTCTGCGAAGCAATGAACAAAATACATCTGGGTGAGACAGGCACTGAAATCGATCTCCCTGGAATTGAACCAAAAGTTTGCCAGAATTTTGGGCAGGGTGGTTGTGGAGAGCACCAGGTCTGTGACGGCCAGCATGCAGAGGAAATAGTACATGGGCTCATGGAGCTTCGGTTCCTTCTTCACAATAAATAGGATGGCAAAGTTCCCCAAGAGGGCTATGACATACATGGTGCAGAAGGGGATGGAGATCCAGACATGGGCTGCCTCCAGGCCAGGAATGCCAGGCCACGAATGCCCAGTAAGATGAAGGTGGAGGGGTTGGAGAAGGCAGTTGTGTTGGTATCCGTCATGGAGCGGAGGAGAAGCGATTCAGCTCTGAGGCAGAATGTTGTCTCTGACTTGAACCAGATGCTCCGTGGAGTCTCTGGATGTGCCCAGGGTCTAGGGTGATGGCCACAGTACAAATACCTGGAGGGAGACACAATGTCAATGTAAGACACCACGTACACTAGTGGAGGCTGTTTTCATGGGTGAAGGAGTTTGTACTTTCTTCAAACTCTGAGAAATGGCACTTTCCTTATCCAGAGCCATGAATTACAAACAACAGACCCTTCTAATTCCATGTTTGATGATGCTTCATGCATTAATAATTTCCTCATTTTTTGGTGTTCAAAACTTAATAGGCACCAGGAGGAAATACACCCCAGGGAAAATACCTGGCCATAACTGATAGCAACCCCATGAAACAACAGCTCATTCACAGCACTGGCTATGACAGAGACCATGTTCGGATGCCTAGGGAAAGGGTTGGAAAAATAGCTGCTCTGGACACATGTTCAGTTTTGCTTACTCAGCCTTTGTAAAGCAAAAACAGGAAATCATAGAATCATAGAATCATAGGACTGGAAGGGACCTCAAGAGGTCATCGAGTCCAGCCCCCTGCTCTCAAGGCAGGACCAAGCTCTGTCTACACCATCCCTGACAGATGTCTATCCAACCTGTTCTTAAATATCTCCAGAGAGGGAGATTCCACCACCTCCCTTGGCAATTTATTCCAATATTTGACCACCCTGACAGTTAGGAATTTTTTCCTAATGTCCAATCTAAACCTCCCCTGCTGCACTTTAAGCCCATTACTCCTTGTCCTGTCCTCAGAAACCAAGAGAAACAAATTTTCTCCTTCCTCCTTGTGACACCCTTTTAGATATTTGAAAACCACTATCATGTCCCCCCTTAATCTTCGTTTTTCCAAACTAAACAAGCCCAGTTCATGAAGCCTGGCTTCATAGGCTTCTCTAGACCTTTAATCATTCTTGTCGCTCTTCTCTGTACCCTTTCCAATTTCTCCACATCTTGCTTGAAATGTGGCGCCCAGAACTGGACACAGTACTCCAGCTGAGGCCTAACTAGTGCAGAGTAGAGCGGCAGAATGACTTCACGAGTTTTGCTTACAACACACCTGTTGATACAACCTAGAATCATATTTGCTTTTTTTGCAACAGCATCACACTGTTGACTCATATTCAACTTGTGGTCCACTATGACCCCTAGATCCCTTTCCGCCATGCTCCTTCCTAGACAGTCGCTTCCCATCTTGTATGTATGGAACTGATTGTTCCTTCCTAAGTGGAGCACTCTGCATTTCTCCTTATTAAACCTCATCCTGTTTACCTCTGACCATTTCTCTAACTTGCTAAGGTCATTTTGAATTATGTCCCTATCCTCCAAAGAAGTTGCAACCCCACCCAGTTTGGTATCATCTGCAAACTTAATAAGAGTACTCTCTATCCCAATATCTACATCATTGATGAAGATATTGAACAGTACGGGTCCCAAAACAGACCCTTGAGGAACTCCACTTGTTATCCCTTTCCAGCAGGATTTAGAACCGTTAACAACAACTCTCTGACTACGGTTATCCAGCCAATTATGCACCCACCTTATCGTGGCCCTATCTAAGTTATATTTGCCTAGTTTATCAATAAGAATATCATGCGAGACCGTATCAAATGCCTTACTAAAGTCTAGGTATATGACATCCACCGCTTCTCCCTTATCCACAAGGCTCGTTATCCTATCAAAGAAAGCTATCAGATTAGTTTGGCATGACTTGTTCTTCACAAACCCATGCTGGCTATTCCCTATCACTTTATTACCTTCCAAGTGTTTGCATATGATTTCCTTAATTACCTGCTCCATTATCTTCCCTGGGACAGACGTTAAACTGACCGGTCTATAATTTCCTGGGTTGTTCTTATTCCCCTTTTTATAGATGGGCACAATATTTGCCCTTTTCCAGTCTTCTGGAATCTCCCCTGTCTGCCATGATTTTTCAAAGATCATAGCTAAAGGCTCAGATACCTCCTCTATCAGCTCCTTGAGTATCCTGGGATGCATTTCATCAGGACCTGGTGACTTGCTGACATCTAACTTTCCTAAGTGATTTTTAACTTGTTCTTTGTGTATCCTATCTTCTAAACTTACCCTCTCTCTGCTTGTATTCACTACGTTAGGCACACCTCCAGACTTCTCGGTGAAGACCGAAACAAAGAAGTCATTGAGCATCTCCGCCATTTCCAAGTTCCCTGTTACTGCTTCTCCCTCCTCACTAAGCAGTGGGCCTACCCTGTCCTTGGTCTTCCTCTTGCTTTTAATGTATTTATAAAAGGTCTTCTTGTTTCCCTTTATGCCTGTAGCTAGTTTGATCTCATTTTGTGCCTTTGCCTTTCTAATCTTGCCCCTGCATTCCCGTGTTGCTTGCCTATATTCATCCTTTGTTAGTTGTCCTAGTTTCCATTTTTTATATGACTCCTTTTTTATTTTGAGATCATGCAAGATCTCCTTGTTAAGCCAAGCTGGTCTTTTGCCATATTTTCTATCTTTCCTACACAGCGGAATTGTTTGCTTTTGGGCCCTTAACAACGTCCCTTTGAAATACTTCCAACTCTCCTCAGTTGTTTTTCCCTTCAGTCTTGCTTCCCATGGGACCTTACCTACAAGTTCTCTGAGCTTATCAAAATCTGCCTTCCTGAAATCCATAACCTCAATTGTGCTGGTCTCCCTTCTACCTTTCCTTAAGATCATGAACTCTATTATTTCATGATCACTGTCCCCTATACTGTCTTCCACTTTCAAGTTCTCAACTAGTTCCTCCCTATTTGTTAAAACCAAATCCAGAACAGCTTCTCCTCTGGTAGCTTTTTCAACCTTCTGAAACAGAAAGTTGTCTCCAATGCAGTCCAGAAACTTATTTAAAGGGATGCCCTGGTAGCCAAGCAGGCTGATGGGTTATTGGGGTGCATTTACTAATGCATAATACTAATGTGCAGTGTTGCCAAGAGTCGGCGAGCCCCGCTTGGCTGCCGCGCGGTTTTGCGTGCTGCATATGCGCAGACCGCGCTGCACCAGTTGTGCCGGTTTGTAATCTACTTGCCACGGGCGAGTGGATTACATAATGTGTTGAGCCCTGCTACTGAGCATTGCCAGCAGATCTAGAGAAGTGATTATTCCCCTTCATTCGGCTCTGGTGAGGCCACATCTAGAGTTTTGTGTCCAATTCTGGACCCCCCACTATAGAAAGAATGTAGACACATTGGAGGAAGTTCTACTGAGGTGGGCTGGAACCCATGACATATGAAGGGAGTCTGAGGTATTTAGACTAGTTTAGTCTGCAAAAGAGAAGAGTGAGGGTTGTTTGATACCAACCAGCAACTATCTGAAGAGGGGATCCAAGGAGGATAGAGATTGTTCTTAGTGGTTGTAGGTGGCAGAACGACGAACAATGGTCACAAGTTGTAGTGGAGGAGGTCTAGATTGATGTGAGGGGGTTCATTCACCACCACAGCAACCCCTGATGTCAGTCCTAGGCAGGGGCAGCTATAGGGCAGGGCGAACGGGGCGGCCGCCCCGGGCTCCATGCTTCAGAAAGACCCTAGGTGAGCTCCTCAGTCCGATATGGGTACCTGTGAATTCTGAGAGAGACGTGTCTTCCTGGTAGCCTCCTGCAGGTAGCTATTTCCTGCTCCACTCTCAGCCCAGCGTCTGCAGCAGCATCCTATGCCAAGAGCCAGCCCAGGGCTGTGCACCATTAATAATATGGCTCTGGGCAATCCCAGTGGGATTCACTCATTCTATAGGGGATGAGTGAGCACCTGGATCCAAGAAGATTGGAGACCAGCCTGTCTGGGCCTCTGGGCTATTTATCCAGCTGTAGGAGTAAACAGCAATTAAGGGTCTTTCTTTGAAAGGGAGATGGGAACTCTTGGGCTCTGGGCTGAGTCAGGGAGGAATTGGCTGCTCTGTGTGTTTGTGTGTATTTAAAAATTATAGTTGATTAGGGAAAAAAGGAGGGATAATGTCTATGTCTCCTCAGGGTCTGATACACTGTAAATAACCAGGCTGTAAAGAGATCGATCTGGAGAAAGGTGATTAAGGACAGACACTTAACACTTTCTACAGGCACACGGGGCTGTTACTAAGGGTCAGAGATCACTAATTCTCACAAGTAACTATCGTCTCCTTGTGCAGCACCTTCCCCTGAGGGGCATTGACAAGACCTTACAAAGGAAAGTCACTGTGAGCAGAAACCCATAATGCAGTGAAGCAGGGAGACATGAATTGGCCGAGGTCAGACAGATTGAGGGGCAGCAAGAGAGAGAGACCCAGGAGTCCTGCAGTAACCGCAGCCCCTCCATGGCAGGGATATTTCATTGAGTGGGGTACAATGGCGGGGAAAGGCTGGAAGAGAGAAGCTGAGCCTTCTCCATCCTTTCAAGCTGAGTCTAGGGCCTCAGAACTAGCTGGCGTGTGTGCGCTCCCTGTTGCTGGGAGGGGTGAACTCCAGGACGCCACTTCTGTTCCCTCTGGCCTGGTCTACACTAAAGTGGGGAGAGGATTGCAGATACATAACTCCAGTTACGTGAATTATGGAGCTAGAGTCCAAGTATCATAAATTAGGTTTCAGCACTATCCACACAATGGGAGGTTGATGGGGCAGACTTTCCTGTAGACTTCCTCACTCCTTGAGAGAAGCAGTATTACCAGCGTCGATGGGAGCATCCTCTAAGTTTGAATTAGCAGGTCTTCATTAGACCCGCTAATTCAAACCCTGGAAGGGCGACTGGATTGGTGTCAGCTTCTCTATTGTGTAGACACACACACTGAGACACCTTCCAAACCATCGCATCCCTGGGGTGTCTCTTGGGCAACTGAGTCAGTAAAAGCCACACAGTGGCTGTGTCTAGACTGGCCAGGTTTTTCGGAAAAACAGCTGCTTTTTCAGAAAAACTTGCCAACTGTCTACACTGGCCGCCTTAACTTCGATCTCATGTAAGATTGTCAGTGCTTTTGA